TATGGATAAATTAGAATAATTCTGTTTATGAAATGCACTTCTGCTAGAGTCAGACATTTTGTGAAAGCCATTGGAGTTGGAGAGAACCTTGAATGGCAGCCTGTAATGGTAGAGAACAAATGGCCACAATTCACTACAAAACAAACGCCCACAGTTCTTGTTGTGCAATAGTCTGATGAAAATGTGGAAGATATCTTGTAAATAGAGAACTCTGAATCACTTTAGAGAACTTGAGGAGGGAAGTATGGAAGACACCATAAATTAACTGATGTCTGAAGGAATTCAGATCCCTCAGGTTTAATGTACTTAGGCATTCCACTGACTTTTGGGAAAGCAAGAATCAACAGGAACAAGATTCCCGACTTCTCAAAGCTGGGCAGTTTTTCCTCTATTGCTCTGAGATATGAGGAAAAATTCTTAGTAAACTTTTATAAATAATTCAAGTAGGAGCGGGGCAGTGGGAGACAGCATAGAGATTATATAACACCTAGTAGGTAGTAATGGCATTCCAAAGTTCTTAGGAATAGTACAAGTAGGAGCCTGAAGAGGAAGGGAATAGATAAAAGTTCCTATGAGCTGGTAGGCATCTCTAAAAGTAAACATCAAACAACCTGCTTTGATGTTGGCAAGGGAGTTGAGAATGGGGTGCTCCACGGCCCTCCTGAATTGAGGTAGATCTTTTCTGTGACACTAATGTTTCTTAGAACTGGTCCAAGTAGACTTGGTGGGTACGAGAGGACCAGTGATAGAAGCAATCTCACCAAGAAAGTTAAGTTTTGCTTGTGGGGAATAACTATGCAGGATATGCAAGATAGATTTCCTGGCAAAACCATATAAGACCTAATCTGTTCAAATCATGTCCTTCAAAGGTAATCTTTTAAAAGATGGTTTGAACTTCTTTTGGCCATCTAGAGGAAGGTTGCAGCCAGATATGCAACTCACAGTGACTTTTCATAGGCCTTTACACAATTCTGCTTCATCTGGAATAATCTAGAAATATTTTAGCTGTCAGCTGACTCCCTAACCAGTGCCTCAAAGTCAATGCTTTGTTGGAAATAATGCATGATTAAGCTTCAGTGTAGTTTAGATGACTGAATCACAACCATTGTTCCATATAAGTGCATATACTCCATGTAAGTGCAAGCTCACAGCAATAGCTTCTCTAGAAAGCTCCAACTTCTTCAGTTCTTTTACTTTTGGAGTACTTAAAAAAAGGAACTCCAGATTAGTCTAAAGTATGTAATGGGGCTAAAAGTACTCAGTGCCACTGAAGAAACCTAGTCTTCCTTTCAACCTTAGCGTGAATAATCAAGAAGCTGGAGTGTGTCATGGTATTTGTATTTTCTAATATGCCATTATAACAAGGCTCTCAGGGACAGTAGTATGTAAAACATCCAGTCATTTGTCATTTTTTGTCGTAGAACATGTATTCTCCATTGCAGCCAAAAGTTTCTACAATTGTACCTGAAAAAACTTGTAAGTCAACAGTGCAGGGGTAGGAAAAAGTCTGCAACTTCATCAGGGAAGAAAGACCCTGCAAGCTGATACAAGTTCTCTTGGATAATCCTGCTGGAATGAGATGACAAGGTCTCCACATTTGGCAGATGTAAAATCTGATGAAGTTTTGAAATGGAGAAGGTTGACTTGGGAAGGGGTACTGTTTTCAAGCTAGATATTAGATTAATAGATTATAGTGTTGGAAGGGACCACAGTTGATCATCATGTTTGACCCCTTGCCCTTGGCAGGAAAGAGGACTGAGGTCAGACGACCTCAGCCAGGTGACTGTCAAGTTTCCTCTTGAACACCTCCAAGTTAGGTGATAGTACCACCTTGCTTGGAAGCCCATTCCAGATTCTGGCCACCCTTGCTGTAAAAAAATTCTTCCTAAGTCTAACCTAAATTTGCTCTCCACTAGTTTGCACCTATTATTCCTAGTTACTCCCTGGAGTGCTCTGGTAAATAGCGCATCACCAATTCCCTGCTGTCCTCCCTTGATAAAGTTATAAGCAGCTACAAGGTCACCCCTCAGCCTTCTCTTGTAAAGGCTGAAGAGATCCAGATCTCTCAACCTCCCCTTGTAGGGGCTTTCATGGAGGCCACTAATCATGCGAGTGGCCCTCCTCTGAACCCTCTCCAGATTCTCCGTGTCCCTCTTGAAGTGCAGCGCCCAAAACGACAGTACTCTTAACTGTGGCCTGACCAATGCTGCATAGAGGGGGAGCATCACCTCCCTTGATCTGTTGGTCATGCATCTGCTAATACACGACAAGGTGCGATTGGCTTTGTTGATGGCTTCGTTACACTGCCGGCTCATGTTTATCTTGGAGTCAACTATGACACCAAGATCTCTCTCAGCCTCTGCTGCTGAGGAGGTCATCCCCCAACCTGTAGGTGTGCTGGGGATTCCTCCTTCCTAGGCGGAGTACCTTACATTTATCTTTGTTGAATTGCATCCTATTTCGTTCTGCCCACTGATCCAACCTGTCCAGGTTGACCTGTATCTGCCCCCCTGGTGTGTTAACTTTGCCCCATAATTTGGTATCATCTGCAGACTTGGAGAGGGTGCTCTCCACACCCTTGTCCAAGTCGCTGATGAAGATATTAAATAACATTGGTCCAAGGACCGAACCCTGTGGGACCCCACTGCCCACCTCCTTTCAGGCCGAGAATGACCCATCCACCACCACTCTGGCTGCGGTCCCTAAGCCAGTTAGCCACCTACCTGACTGTGTAGGCATCCACTTAAGTTATTCTTGGGATGCTAAGGAGGCCAACAGGACCAATCATTCTGGCCATAACTGATGTGTAGAATAGTGGTGAATACAATTCTGGAGGCACCATCTTCATCATTCTTTTTACAAAACAGTAACACTTAACCTGGTACTGAAACACAGGAGTCACAAAAGACTCCTTAGCCTAAGTACAGACGATCAAAAAGCCCAAGGATGAATCAATTCAATCTTTGCAGGCTAGTCTACACTGCATAAATTGAACTGAGAAGCAAGTGAACAGACGTTCACTTGATTCTGGAAATACAGCCACATGCCGGCAGTGGCTCAGCCAGAAGCTGGGGGGTGCTAGAGCAAGCTCTCCCTTCCCTTCAGCAGTAGCTGGAAGGCTGAAGGGAAGCTGGGAGAGAAGCTCTCTAGGCTTTTCATCCCCATCCCTGCTCAAGCTAAGTGGGGGAGGGGGACGGCATGACCAGGCCCCACCAAGCCTGCTGAGTATGATCGTGGGGGTTTAAAGGTACTAGCAGGTACCCCGGCCTGCACAGACCCCAGCCAAGGGTGTGTGTGGGGAAGAAGCTCCCTCCAGGCTTTTCTCCTGCTCCCTGCTGAAGTGGGGGTGCAGGACATGGCCAGACCCCAGCCAGGGCCAGCATGCTGAGGCAGAAGGGAGGGGATGGGGAGGCTATTTTAAACCCCTTCCCCTGCCCACACAGCACCCCAGCTGTGGTCTGCTTGCAGAGACACAGCAGCCCCTGCCTGGCTTTTCTCTGTGACTGCTCCAGTGGCCTGCACACTGAGGTGGAAGTGAGGGAGGAGGATTTAAATCCTCTCTTCCTGGGGTCTGCCTGACAGTGTTGCAGCTGCCCCTGCTAGGCTTTTCCTCGCTTACTGCTCCAGTGGGGAGAGTGTGACCAGACCCCAGCCCCAGACCAGCATACTGAGGCGATGGCAAGGGAAAGGGGTTTAAAGCCTTTCTCCCACTCACACAGGACCTCGGTTGTGGTCTGCCTGGCAGGGGAAGAAGCCCCTGACAAGCTTTTCCCCACTTGCTGGAGCTGAGGGGGAAGTGGGTAGAGCAGCCCCTGCCAGGCTTTTCCCTACTTGCTGCTCCAGCAGGGGGGAAAAGCTTGTCAGGGGCTTCTCCGCCTGCCAGGCAGACCACAGCCGAGGTCCTGTGTGAGTGGGCTAAGAAGCAGTAGTGCTCCGGCTATGGAGCAGAGCCAACCATACTCCCCTGAAGCAGACAGCACAGTCCAGCCCAGCCCAGGGCTGCAAAGCATCCTGGGATACTCAAGGACTCATTTAACTTGAACCAGGAAGGGGGCTGGGGCAGAAGTTTCATAAGCTGGTTTGACCTAAATCAGTTACGTCTGGTACTACATTCAACCAGGTTTATCTTAAACTACTTTCAGCCATTTTGGAAGTGAATTATATGCACTGAACTTTGTTACAGGTTCAAACTAATTTCTGATCACTTAAACCAGCTTGTGTAACTTCTGTCCCTAGCTTTAGGGAACAAACAGGAGAAAGAACCTGGTCATGTTTCATCATGAGTGTGACTTAAGGTATAAGCAAATCTTGTTTTGAGAACAGTAGTATGAAGGCACAACAATAGACTGCTGGTTAAAGCATTCCCAGCTCTGGTCCACAAGGTGCACGTGCCCTGTAAATGGAACACACAGACAAACACTTGAAGAAACATTTGTTATTCCACATACTGGCTCTGTTTCTTTTGTTACGTTCCTTTTGACTGGAAGACATGCATTTAAAATAATTTTTTTCTCAAAATGGCCTCCATCTTCAAATTGAGTAAAAAAAATAAGTATTTTGGCTTTTGAAATTAGTATGCAGTGTGCAGTGCAAGGGCTGTACAGCCCCCAGACATTCAGAAGTTGGATAACCCTGGTGAAAGTATTAAGGATGTAGTTTGCTAGATTTTACAGGATCTATTTACAAAATGGCTTGGTTACTTATTCTAGATTTAAAAGAAGTGAATGTCAAGTTACAACCTTCTCAAGTTCTTTGTAGTTTTCATGCTTTCTACTTAATTTTTTACACATCTAATAAATTATGTATTTGAATTATACTAATTTAGTTAAAATATGTAACGTTACTTCATTCACACCCTGTAAGAGTTTAATTGCACACTGGTAATTTAATGTTGACTTTTAAGATAGCAGCCAATTATAGTTAAGAAAAAAACCTATGTAACCTTTTTCATATTAGAGAAAATAATTACTGAAGGAAGTTTGTTTCTTTCTTATTAACAGACATGACTGTGACTCTGAAGAGAAAAAAACCTGGAAGCCCTGCAGTAACACTTCTTATTGAGAAACCTCAAACACAGATATCAGTGGATATAATCTTGGCTTTGGAGTATCGAAGTCAGAGCTGGCCCAGAAGTACACAGGATGGTTTAAACATTGACCAGTGGCTTGGGAAAAAAGTCAAACAGGCCTTTAAACAGAACCCACTTTACCTAGTACCCAAACATGCCAAAAATGAAAAGGTGATAAAAGGTAATCAAAACAAAAACACTAAGGACAGTGGTAGACATTAATTTAGTGGCATGACTGAATCAGATCCAAGATCCCAAAAATCGTGGTGCCCACCTACATCATATATGCATGGCAGCATGCATGATTTTTAGGATCAGGGACTGATCCAAATCATAACTGCCAATGCAGAGAGCTCAGCAGCAGGAACTTGTCCCTGATACTTTATTTTTTGTCATACCCTTTCAACTTGCTGGCGTGTGGAGCCTGGGATCCCAGGTTCCACAGGAACTAGTAAGTTAAAATTTGCAGTTTGGATGGGGTCCCCCAGCTCAGGAAGTTGCATAGGGCTGTCTCACACATGGGTTGATAGGTTCAGCGCAAGGGGAACTGATGCCTTTCCCTAGAAAGAGGTTTAAACCCGTGCACTGGGCTGCACTGCTGAGTTTTAACATGCCACATATACAAACCAGCCACAAAGATGTTCCGTACTAATGTGGAACACATCTTTGCAGCTGGTTTGCCACTTTATGGCATGAATTGCTTGAATGTGTGGCATATTACTATTTGTATGGCACGATTAAGACATTAATGTAACATCTACCTGGGGCCTAAGTTACCTTTTTGTAAAAGGTCTTATGTTAGCTTTGTATCTAGCAAGAACTTTATATTGTTCTTATGTTGTGGAAAGATTAGTTCTTCAAGGAATACTGGATCCGTCTCTTAATCTCAATTTGGCTACCTCTGGATAGAAGTCATTTGGGTAATCCCTATAGTACATATTTATCCCCCTGATAAGAGTGCTGTGGTACTTACTGGCCATATATGTTTAGGAGGCATTATTTATTCCCCATTTTTATATTCTCAACAGAAATCTGTTAAATGAAGGAAAACATGCTTCTGCATATATAGAGCACGCATAACAAGCAATATATACATTAACATGGAAAAGTCATGGCCGAGTGCTAGTGCTATAAAAATATTGTTTAAACTAATTAAATATTTTTAGTGGTTCTGCTTTTTAGAGCAAAGAATACCTTGGAATAGAACTATTCCACAGTATGCCCTTGCTGCAAAGAAGGCTAACAGCATACTGGGCTGCATTAGTAGGAGTGTTGCCATCAGATTGATGGAAGTGATTCTTACCCTCTATTTGGCCCTGGTGGAGGCCACACCTGGAGTGTTGTGGTCAGTCTTGGACCCCACACTACAGAAAGAATGTAGAATATTTCAGTAATAAGAACGAAAGACTTGTGTGTATATATTGTAATCCCCTCCCCTCTCTTCCAAATCACACATTAGCAATTCTGGACACTTGTTAAACTTACACTTGAAAGAAATCCAAACATATTAAAGTATGTTAATTCAGTTATGATCTCCAAACAAGCTCAACTCTGCCCTGTACTGACAACATGCAAAGTCACATGATTGTGGCATATAGTTGCATGTATTCCAAATACATTCACTTTGGGAATACTTAAAGAAGCTGAATAATTACAGGGGAAAGACATATTATACACAGGTAAGAATTAAAGTTTGTTCGTTTGTTTTTTAATTTAGCAAGCACCTGGCGGCTCTCTTTTTCACATATTGAAAAGGATATTATAAAGAATCATGGGAACGCAAAAACTTGCTGTGAATATGATGGAGTAAAATGTTGTAGGTCAGTATCTCATGACACCTTTGTTCTTTAGCTTATTTTAAATCATTATGCTAGTCTTGCAAGTATTTTAGTTTTCTAATGACAAATTTAGAAAATATTCTGCAAGAGAGAACAGGATCTCGTAGGTATAATGAGCAGAGTATTTTTAAGACTCCCCAGAGGCAGTGTGTGTTAGCTACAGCCAAGGCTGGGGACTTTGACTGGGGTGTGCCAGTGCTTCTGCTGGGACCAAAGCCAGAGGTTCCTGGCTAGAGGGCCTTGCCTCTTCACTCAGGATCAGACTGATCACCATATCTGGGGTCAGGAAGGAGTTGGGGTCAGATTGGTATGGACTCTGGGAGTTTTTGCCTTCCACTATCACAGGGGGTAGGGCTCTCTGCCAGGGACCTCCTGAGTGTATATTGTCAATATTTTATAGAAGCAGGACATTGGCTGTCATGGTTCCCCTGCTTTAACTGTGGCAAGCTAGGGTGTTAGTTCTGTGTTGTGTCAAGGTTGATGGCAGTCTTATGTAGAGTTTAGATTATGGTTTGTATGGGAAGGTTTGGATATGGATGATCCTGCCTCAGTCACAGGGTTGGACTAGATGACCTCTGCAGATGCCTTACAGCTCTACTTCTCTATGGCTGATTTCTGAAACTATCTGCAAAGCACTTTAATCCTGAAAACATCTTTCTGTTTTAGTCAAGTAAGTATAATCTTCTACAGCACAAAGTGCACTTGACTTCCATTTAGTCAGTATGAGATGGAGGCATACTATACAGACCAGGTTCAGGCCACATATTTGCATTATGAAGTAAATACATATGACTATTTTAATACCTATGCCAGTCATTTAAAAAAATTGCTTCCTGTTAAAAGGGTTATGCCTGAGAAGTGATGATTCAACCTCCGTGAGTTTTAACAGCTGTGTATTCTAGACATTGGGTACAAGTTAAAATTACTTTTTGAGGTACTTAAAAGTGTGGGAAATTAGGTAAAGAGTGTTTTGACATTCTATTGTCTAAGAAACTGACTTTTTAGATTAATTCATTTTGCATTCTTCATAGGAAGAGAATGGAAACCAAAGCATATAATTAAGATTTATGTGTAAGAGATAAAAGGTTAACTCCTACAGTTTACCTTGTGCTTCTCTCAGTTCTCTTGACCCAAATCATAAATATCATTAGGAAAATCACTGCCTTTGCCTTAAAAGTGTTATTTTTAACCTTTGTGTTATTTTTAAACTTGTGGCCAGATTCCCCATTCCAAAAGACCTTGCCCATTCTAGGGAATATTCACTCCACAGGAATGTTTCAACATTTCCCCTCACTATCAGGGAAGGACAGCTTTTGCCACCAGGTTTCTGCTACCTTGTACTACTGCAGTTTTCTTGGCTACACAGTCCCTTAATTTTAGGATTACCTGAATTTCTACATGGGAATCTTTGCAATAAATGTGGTGTGTAAGATGCACCCGCATTTTCATATTTTATAGCAAAAATTATTGGCAAGATTTGTTAATCCACTTTTTCAGGGTGGTATCAAATAACTCATAAAATTAATTAAAAAGTACAGAATTTTTACATTTTCAGAAAGACTTGCTTAGAACAAATAAGGTATTTTTAAAAATACTTTTTATTCAACAGGAAAGAGCGTCTTAAACTTCTGAAGTATCTTCTGGAACAGCTTAAAGCAAAACACAGAAGCAGAAGAGAGCTGGACAAATTCTGTTCCTATCATGCTAAAACTGCCTTCTTCCACATGTGTGCTCGCCGGCCAGAAGACAAGGACTGGCAGTTTAAAGATCTTGATCGTTGTTTTCATGAATTCTTGGATTATTTTCTGGATTGTCTCCAAAAGTCAGACCTTCCTCACTTTTTTATTCCTAAACACAACCTGTTCAGTCCTGACCTGGTTGATATGGCAAGCAGTAACTTCCTTTCAAGGGAAATTAAATATGAATTAAATAATAGTTTCCCAATATTTAAACTGGAGAACTAAAGAGGCCATACCATTTTTCCTAGGTTTTAATTCAGATTTTATAAATCTGAATATTTAAAAAGGAACTCTAAATGTGTAGTTACCCTGTGGAAGTATGTGGTGCTACGTAAAGGAAATAATAATAGGGGTCAATAAATGATATTTGTATATTTAAATTATACTACTCAGGAGAGGAGGACTATAAACAGAAGGGCAAGACATCCTTCCAGGTACACTGGAATGGGTAAGAATTAGGTATTATCTATGCTTTCAAACTCCTTCCTATTATTCTGCATATAAAGACATCATCTGGTCACTCAGTCAGTAAAGCAAGAATATAAGGACTCAGTTATGGAAGTGACCATAAATGACTGGTGCCTCCCGAGACTGGAGGGGGGGAGGGGGGCACCATTTGTAGTCGGCAGCAAACGGGGACCGCCCATAGAAGCTGGTGGCGGTGGCAAGTGGTGACCACCCGCAGAAACCAGTAGTGATCAATCTTGGGGGGGGAAGAGGCACGTGCCCCCCCTGCGTCCCCACTATTCACTGCTTATGGAAGTGACTTAAACAGAATTAGACAAATGGCCAAAATATGCACTTACACTGGTGCAAATCTGAAGTTAGTGGAGTTATACCAGCCTGAAATGGGACACAATGCTGATTATTTAGGATTTGTTTCTTAATGGTTATTCTTTACATCAACAGACAGAATATGGTGACTGACTTTATGAAGAACTCCCCAGATAACTGCCTTTATTTCCTTACGTGAGAGGCAAGGATTTCTTGGGGTGGTATCCTGTATTGGAACAACTATGTAGTTGGAATAAAGTTAGACAAGATTTTGAATACAAAACTCTTCACTGGCTGACTAAAAAAGAAATCACCCTAAGAAATCCTGGACTCGCATAATTTCTGGACCATTACAGCTATATCACTTTATTTCCTTATACATCTCCAGAGGTATGTTAAAGATGCAATTGAAGTCTTCACAAACACAAAGCTTTTTAATTAATCTTAAATACAATTACAGAATACAGATTTGGGAGAAGTGCAGTGTCTGAAGCTGAAAAAAAGAAGATGAACCTTGATTGATATCACCAATGAGCAATACCACACTGAAGATAACTACTTTGTTTGGAATCTAGATTAAGAGCAAGCACCCATGAATGCTCAGTTCATCATCTATGCAGTTTGATTCTATCCTGTACCCTGTGGCTCTCCCTGTGCAACTTACCTACAGGAATCCATATTGCAAAAATGTTAGCAATGTTCGTATTTTGCAGCGGTGTAACAGTATTAAAATTGAAGTAGATATCTTTGTTTTAGCTGTCTTGAAGAGGAACACCTGCTTTATAAAACTGAAGGCAAATGAAAGTTCTTAAGTACTGAAGATTCTGATGCATCATAAAAGATGTGCTTAAGGATAACTCTGCTATTCTCAAATTATATTTCCTGGCACACAGGAAAGCTTCCTTGTGGAGGACACTAGCACAACTGATTTTAAAATGCTAACCAAACAGTTCTCCCACAGCATCTGAGGAAATCGATGGGTGTCAGTTGGGGGCCTCAGCTGCCTGTATTCCAGGGGCAGGCAATTATTTTGGGCAGAGGGCCGCTTACTGAGTTTTGGCAAGCCATCGAGGGCTGCATGACAGGCAGCCCAGGCCAGATAAACATTAATTTTCTAAATTTTTTAGGGGTCCCGCGGGCTGGACAGAATGGCCTGGCAGGCTGCATCTGGCCCTTGGGCAGCATTTTGCCCACCCCTGCTGTACACCAATGCCAGGAGCATGGGGAACAAGCAGGAGGAGCTAGCCCTCCTGCTCTATAGCGAGCAATATGACCTGGTAAGGATCACGGAGACCTAGAGGGACTCCTTGCATGACTGGAGCATAGCCACAGAGGGCAACACCCTGCACAGAAGGGACAGGGTAGGGAGAAAAGGCGAAGAAGTAGTTCCCTACGTGAGAGAGCAGTACACCTCTCTGGAGGCTGACGTCAGCTCCAGAGATAAGCAGCTTGAAACCCTCTGGGTCAAGCTATGGGGGAGGAGGGGGCCGACGTAAAAGAAACCGAACTAAGTACTTACTACAGGCCACCGGACCAAGGGGAGGAGCTGGATCTGGAATTCTCTCAAGAACTGACAGAGCCCACGTGTGCAAGGGACTTGGTTGTTATGGGTGACTTCAATTACCCAGACATAGATTGAGAGGAACACTTGGCTAGGTCAGATCATTTACACAGTTTCCTGACTGATCAAGGAGCTCTTTCTGACCCAGGAAGTGCAAGGGCCAGCCAGAGGTAACGCTCTCCTAGTCCTGGTCTTGACCAAGGGAGATGATCTGGTGTGTGGCTTGAACATTGAGGGTAACCTGGGTGACAGTGACCATGAAATTATCAGGTTCACCATCTGCTGCAAGGTCAACAAATCAACCAGCAGGATTGAAGTCCTGGACTTCAGAAATGCTGACTTCGATAGGCACAGAGCATTAGTAGGGGAGGCGATGCAGGACCAGGAAGGCAAGGCACATGGGGTACACAAAGAGTGGTTGTTGCTCAGGGGTACAATCCTCAAAGCACAAAAGAAAACCATTCCTGCAAAGAGGAAAGGCAGCAGAAGTGCTGGCAAGCCCTGGCTTAATAGGGACATTGCAGTCATCTTAAAAAAGAAAAAGGGTGTACGCACAGTGGAAGCTAGGGAGGGTCCTCAAGGAGGACTATACAACAGTGGTCAGCACTTGGAGGGAAAAAATGATCAGGAGAGCCAAGGCGGTGACGGAGTTTAAGTTAGCTACAGGAGTCAAGGACAATAACAAGTCCTTTAGGTATGTAGGCAGTAAAAGGAAAACAAATGGAAGTGTGGAACCCCTGCTTAACATCTCGGGAAAGCTGGTAACTGACATTCAGGACAAAACTGAACTGAATGCCCACTTTGCTTTGCTATTTCACCAGACCATGGGGAATGTCAAGTGAGATAAGGCTCATAGGGGACATGCCAGGACTGACAACCTCCCCACTGTGCAATACCAACTAGAAAAGCTAGACATTTCATAGACATTAGGGCTGGAAGGGACCTCAGAAGATCATGAGTTCAGCCCCCTGCCCCAGGGGCAGGAAGTCAGCTGGGGTCACAGGATCCCAGCAAGATAAACATCCAATTGACTCCTAAAGGAATCCAGAGTACGTGCTTGCACCACCTCTGGCAGCAGTCTGTTCCAGACCATGGGGTCTTGGACAGTGAAGAAGTTCTTCTTTATGTCCAGCCTGAAACGGTCTTGGAGAAGTTTGTGACCGTTTGACCTTGTTGTCCCAATGGGGCGCTCTGGTGAACATGCGTCCCCCCAAATCCTGATGTGCACCCCTTATATACTTATAGGCAGCTAACAGGTCCTCCCTGAGCCTGCGCTTTTCCAGGCTGAAAAGTCCTGTAGCTCTCAGCCTCTCATCATAAGGCCTGCTTTCCTGACTTCTGATCATGTGTGTGGCTCTCCTTTGGATTCTCTCAAGCTTCTCCACATCCTTTTAAAATTGTGGAGCCCAGAATTGAATACGGTACTCCAACTGCGGCCTCACCAAGGCTGAGTACAGCGGGAGGATGACATCCTGAGATTTGCTAGAGAAGCATCTGTGGATGCAAGCCAGGGTTTTGCTCACTTTGCCAGCTGCAAGATCACATTGGTGGCTCATATTGCTGTCTATGGCAGCAAGAGGGCACAGCAGCCCCCCTGGCTCTCCAGGGACCTAGCAGACCTCCTGAGGCTAAAAAGAAAGGCCTACAAAGGATGGAAGATGGGAGTCACCTCCAAGGAGGATTATTCTGCACTGGTCCGGTCCTGTAGGGAGCAGACCAGGAAAGCCAAGGCTGCAACTGAACTCCAAC